TGGTGCATGGACCATATGGTGTAGACAAACCGCTGACCTATTTACTCAGTGATGTAAAAAAAACTATTATTTCTATATCCTAGTTATCTTCAATTTCCTATGATCATTATCTAGCTCAGTGATACGTGTTTGATATGTTGCAATAATTACCATGGTAACGTTTTGCCAACGCTGATGCATTATGGATTATGTTTACGTTTTTGCATTCCGACGTTATTATTTATCAAGATGGATCCAGTACGTTCCGTTGCTATTGTTTAGATTCAAACGCGATCATTTTATTTGTATTATGAATTGAATGGTGAATGAATGATTAATTTGGAGCTTTGTGGAGAAAACATTTGTTTTTGTTTGATACAATGAATGAAATGTTCAGCAAACGCCCAATAGATTTGTGAACAAAGTTGTTGGCGGTTGCTTTTTACGCATAAGCAGCCTTCGGCAACTCTTAATTACAGAGATTTTCCGTATGTGTTTCAGTGTGACAACTAGCACGGTTTAACCTCATGACATGTTCATTCTTTCGGGTCCACTGTCATGTTCATTTCATCTCTTCAGAGGCTTTCTTTGATATATTAAATAAATTAATCGTTACAAGTTTCAGGTAAATCGAAATCACAATCTCTGAAAAAATCAAACAAATGGTAGACTCGTATTATAAAACTGTTCTCAACAAGACCCCATATGACGAATTCGATAGCATCTCGATTGACAATGAGCATAATGCATTCTCCTATGCAATATTAATGGAAATGTGCTTCGTATGTTTTGCAAACAATGTTTTGTTAAACCCTTTTGGGAAATGAATTAGTAATTCATTGAATAGACGTAACTATGAATCGGGTACAATTGAATAGGATATACATAATGTAAAACCACACATAAAGACTTGTCATGTCTCCTCATTCATGCATTGTTACTGAAATCATTAATTGTTCCAGAAACAGTTTACTTGTATGTTATAATTCCATATAGTTATACCACTGGACGAATGTGTTATTGGTTTATCTTTATTTATTATTATCATTTCCCTTTTTTAATGACTAGTGCATCAATGATAAATAAATAATCTTTTGGTTAGGTATTATTTTAAATCACGTCGGTATTTCGGCAATAAAAAATACAATTTTAAAAGCGTTATTTTAGTTGTAATTTTACAAATATGAACAAGGTTAGTGGACCAGGTAATTTAACTATCAGTATCATATAATAAGTCGTAAAGAGCCGGTGCTCTGTTGCCTTTTTATGTGGAAGTTATAGGGAAGGGTAACAAAGATATGTCACAGGTGTTAGCATCATATTATAATGAAGTCAATATTAAAATTTCATAAATGAGTATAACAACACGAACACGATCTGTCCCAGTTGTTTTCAGAATCTAGTATCATAGTTTTATAGACAATGTTGAGCAAACCCTTTAAAGAACATCTATGTTTAAATTATCATGACAAACCTTTTACGATGTCAAAAGAGGCCATAATATATCTCATATAAATTATATCACAACAGATATGTCCAAAATATGTATATTTACACGTGCGCTTAGCCATTTATCAATAACCGTGACAAGACACCTGCAGAGCTCTAGTGTATGACCGCAGGAATGTCCAGCCACAGCGAGGCAAAGTGTGAAGGTACTGGAGTCTATTACCTCTAGCTGGCATGGGAAAAAAGTTCACAATAATGAGGTTTGCATGATCGAATTCCGTGCGTTATGAATACAAGATCCAGCGACGAGGTTGTTGCAATCGCATAAACATGTAGATATTGCAAATTGACCTATCATTTTTTGTTAATTGTGTAACTCATTAGATATGTATGTATGTATATAGAGTAGTTTATATTTTTTGTTTATTTATTTTCTAATTGTTTGTTTACATTTTTCGGCGGCTGGGTGGGTGTGGGATGGGATGATGGTAAGGTGAAAATATCATACCTTTCTTTATAAAGTCACTCACTGTCCTTTGTGTACGTGTTTGTATATAACTAAAAGTCTACATAACACCTATGCAAACCCAGCTAAGTATTACACCGGTTTGATAAATAGTGTCACAATAGAAAATGTAGTCGATCACTGTCACCAGGTAAAACCTCCAGGTACAATCGTATTAAGGCGATGTATCTTCAATACTCATCAATTCTCTGTCCCCTTCAATGTTACACTGTACGTGAAGGGATCATAACTGAGAAACACAACCTTTCGACTCCTGCACGTGAACGATTACATTGATGCGGTACCTATCATAAAGCATATGATATCTGGTTGATTAACATTTCAATTAAGCACGTCATGGTTACCTTGTACATATTATGGTGTAAACTGGCCACTCTAGCACTTTTGTTTACTGTTTATTTCTGTCAACTACATAAAGTAAAAATGCATTTGATAAAGGAATTCTTAATATAGATCAGGCGACACTTACCCTCATTTTTTGTATATTTGGTTTTAGGTAAACATAATATATTGTATACTCTTTAATGCTTGTAACACCTGGCCATTGCTAAAGGGCTGACCCAACCATTCCACGCTTCTCTGTTTAATGGGTTGTCTGCCTGTACAACTGGTGTTTGTCCTGAAGGTTGAAGCACTGGGAAGTATCGACTCCGACATCAAAAGTACAGGTTCAACCCTCTGAAATTTCACACAAAAAGAAAGTCAATGGAAATATTCTACTCCTGTATTGTCTTTCTGTATATTTAGTAACACAAATATGTTCATGAGAGCGTCATCCATTTTGGTAGATTTTCCTAACGGTTGTTTTGGCATAGGTTCACGGCTACACATAATACAGATTTTTCTAGTATATGATAAATACAGGCATTTACATCTACCTTTTTTATTTACCTCTATGATTGGATAAATTAACACTTTATTTCCTAAAATGTCAATGAATAAACGTTGTGATCTGATACCTAGTCATGTGTAAGGTATAACCTACATTGCGTTCCACTGGTTTAGCTTATATATAACTATTCTCTTTTTTCATCTGTCATCACCGTTTGATCATACATGCAAATGGTACTTAATACAGCTATGCACCATTAGACGGTTTTATCCTTCAACCTAATGAGATATAAGGTACCTGAGTTTGTACAATTATAAATTTCGTTTCAGGAAATACATTTCAACTATTTTGCAATTGATGCCGATCCGATGTCTATTGATTTATTGGAATTTTAAACAGAAATAAAAATGACACCTTTTCCGTTCGAGCTGTACTGAGGCGTAAAAATGCAATGTCGATATGAATGGATATTTTTATATATAAACAAATCAAATGGTAAATTTTCTTGAAAATACATATGGGTATAATTCATCGTATGAATTGACAAAAAAGGTGTTCTTCGGTAATCAAGACGTTTAATTTTATGCCTAATATGTCTACCGTGTTATTCTTTGATAATATTTCCGTTATATTTCACGTATAAAAAATCATGTGATATGCTCTATAGATATATCAGGATGAATAAATGGACTGACGTCACGCATTCATGAAACGGAGTTCTCAAACATACAACTGAAAAGTATTTGATAAAGAGAATCTGCGATTCGTTTCAAATATTTGTATCAGAGTTTTCCTCGTAATAACTTGGAAGGTCCTCTCTAAAACAGCAACGTCTTAGATATATGTCATCAATCTCATATACTATGTACACGCATACAGGATCATATGTATCCTGTCGTGATGTTAAAATTGGTTAACTGTTGTAGATGTAACTGTTCAGTTGGTACCCTGCATTTCCACTTAGGTAACAGTGATCATAGAGTAAAAATGCATGGTAAATTAACATAGGACTGTTGATCAATTAACTATATTCTCTATAGTCTGTTTTTTTAAAGATTAATTGATTTATTTTTTATACTTGTAAACAATCTATCACCTGCCCGGGTGCTCAAGTGCAAACGACTTGATACAGGAACTAACTCATGATAATATACAACGTGTTCACCTTTCCACACACCTTCCATATCTGATTGCGTCCGAAACTTTGAAATTGTTAGATTCCACACTTTGACAAATGCGTTTTTAAACTAATCACGACATTTCCGTGCTTGCACTACCTTGCGTAACACTGTGAACCATTGACATTCATTGAACTAAACACCTTTGCTAAATCGTCTGTAAAAAACAAGACTCTTGACTCATTTGTATTGTAATTACCCCAGGTAAAGGGCAAGGAAGGTTTGTGTTAGACTGTTACCGAGGTCATACCACATTAACATGGGTCAGCTTAATAGTCAACTTGTATTGTATACAAATCATCCGGGGTTGCCGAGGTTAGGAATAAAATTACTTATGAAAAAAAAATGTTAGAGGAAAGATATACCCACAAAGTTACAGGCCATCCGGAAATGATTGATGTATTTTTGTGTTACAAATGTAGCTCCACTGTGGTTGGCTTAAGGGTATTTGTATAAAGCCACTAATATAGATTATATGGGTGATACTTACAGTGTGTATAAAGCTTAATCAAATTAGTGGTTTAATGTATATACGTCTTTCATGTGATAACTGTATCTAGTTGCATCATATAAATGACAGCGTAATTAAAAAGCTGATAACATTGTAACAAGAATGTGTCCTTAATACACTAGGTATTAAAGATACAATACAAACCTTTAACTCAGTAATATATATACTGATCTATATATTTGTAATGTTGATAATGCTCTAATTAACATTTGCTGTAGACTAGTTTTAATTAAAATAACGCTTTATCAACTACATATAACTAAGGAAACACATTTCAGGCCATTTGCAATGTATATTGATTGCTAGCAGACTGATATCAAATTAAAATATAAAAAGATAATACCCCTCTACATTTACTAACGATTCGCAAACAAAATTATTCAATACATGCATACAAGATGAGCATAATGAGATTAAATCCTGTTGGAGCTAGTATGTATGATAAACGTTATACCGTTGGTGTTGTGTCGTTGTTTGTCATACTTTTGTTCAAAAGAATAAAACTGTTTATTTATCTCATTGCAGGTCCTAACTCAGCACATAGAAGAAGAGGACGTCAGACATACAGCCGATACCAAACACTTGAACTGGAAAAAGAATTCCAATTCAACCACTATCTAACACGAAAAAGGCGTATAGAGGTCGCCCATTCATTATGTCTTACAGAAAGACAAATCAAGATCTGGTTTCAAAACAGACGCATGAAATTAAAAAAGGAAAAAATGGCCATAAAAGAACTAAATGAAGGCATCCCGTGCGATTTGGACACGAAAAAATCAGACTTTAAGGAGACAGAAGAAAAAAGCGATGGAATAGGTAGTGACGATTCCCCATAATCCTTTTAACTAAAGCGAGAATCTTCGGCAACGAGAATAATACAAAATACTGTTTAACATATTTCCTTTGCGCCAGGAGCGTGAAACACGGGTTTTGAATCATCGTCAACTCTTGCCGATTACATGATCTGCATTCTTTTCGTCATGAACATGTTGTGTGTTGTTTAATTTATTCAAAGAAGAACGTACGAGTGTGCATCATGTCTATAAGAATACGGCGAATGATTTGACTCGACATAAATGAGAATGTGCCATATTGTAACCATTTGAAACATTAAATCGTAAATTTCATCCTTTTCTATCAGAGACATGCATATTATTTGATAAATGTATGTACTACTGTTGAACATTTTCGGTCATGAGAATGACCTACACTCGCAGGTTCGGACAAGTGTAATGTAATGCTTCGCGAGTTTCCATCATGATAAGAATGTATTTGTGTTTTATTGGGGGTCATTAAGTACTGTGTACTATTTTTAATGGATATTGAAATTTAATAGTCTGCTATATTCTGCTGACAGATTTCAAAAATACACTTATAAATCAAAACCGTTATACAAATTTTAATACATTAAAATATTAATTATGAATTGTAAATATAAAAAATCAACATGGGTAAACGCTCAGATATGTGCAATGCTGGTGATTGCTGTTAAATGTTCCTTAGGACACCATTAGATGGGTGCGCCTTCTTTGGTCTGTACATATTCTGTCTGTCCCTGGTACTTATTGCTCCAAGGTTGGGAACTGCTGAAACCTAGCAACCGTGCGGAATCTTAGGGTGTGTCTTGGATAATTGGTCCACGAACTCATGGCAGTGGCTATAAATATGTCAAATTCCTCGGCAAAGATAACTGTAAAATTTGCTTCAAAATGACTTCGATGACACTTTGTGCATCCGACATTGTATTCAGCAGATTTTGCTGTACCTCGTTGCAGGAAGGATTCATAAAGGTTTTGTGAAAATGAGTAGTAAAAATGGAAGAGGTCATCAAATAGAGGTTTATTCCTTTCTTACATAATAACACAGAAAAAACTTACGTGCAAAACAATTTGAAATTAAATGAAAAAAAAGTTTATCACAATAAAGTTCATCTTGTATATATGTTAATAATTTGAAAAAATATTCTTTTGGAGATGAAAACTGAAAAAAAGCATAATGTGGTTTTTAGAGCATTGAATATATTTATCGCTTCTATTAATGAATCTATATTAATATCATATCGACGTGGTTATAAAAATAACGCGATGAAGATGTAAGTATTATTCACAGGGATCTTCTAATGTAAGATCCATTTTGAACATGCAAACCGAGACAATCTAGAATAGAATTTGACCCTGAAATGCCCTTTTGCTACACACGAGTGTTTTTTCTTTCTTTTTTTTTTTTTTTTTTCTGATGGTGTCGTTCGTCAATCGTGTTGAGTTCTCGATATAAAGGGTAAACTGTGTATGTTTCTTTTTTCTATTTGTAAATCGGCCATAGATAATATGTATGTATATATATATTATGTGTATTATAACGAATGAAGGGTAATGATAGCATTTTGACAGGTTTTTAAATTCATGTTTCATCATCTGTAAATGCTATATAAATTTGTTACTATGTTTTAAAAATATAATTTTACATACTTTCTATTGTTATCACTTACTGGCATTGTGAGCATAATTGATATTATCACCTTACCTTCTACCTTGCTTTTTTCAATTAATGAATAAATAGGTCTTACTTCAGTTAAAACAACATGACATATTTTGATTTTTTGTTATTTCACAATGGAAATAAGGTAGATAGATTGACAGTTATGTAGCTTTTTTTCGGATTTCATCATGTTTTACCATTTCAAATGATCCATGAGAAAAAAAAACACCTTTGACATTCCTATAGCATAATCCCTACTCTATTAAAACTGCCATTTCACAATTACACATGCATTCTGTGCTCCAATGATAGCAAAGACTGGATCTACGTATATCTCCTTCTCTGTGGATTTTATAGTGATTTTGCATTCAAATCTTTCTTGTTTTATAAAACTCAAATATCATCTATGTATATGAGAAATTTTATTTTCTACTTATTGATTATAAGCTTTGTGTATTCCTAGAATACACGTTTATATACGTCTCGTAAGTGCTGAAATGTGTATTAGTTACGTATTGTGTGTGAGTGATATTTGAGTGAGTACAAAATATTAAATAAACCATAGATATTACTAGTGGAAGGTATGTTTATAAAGTCGAAATTATCCATGATATGTACTATATATACATATATAAATATATAAGTAATCTATGTAATTAGTTTGTCGTTAGAGAAAATAAAATCACTTTTTGTGTAATATTGAATTCTGAATATTCAAATCTAGCAATCTCCCCTTTTTGTCTCATGACAAGTTGTATTTCATGGTTTGTCTTCCTCCTTTTCGCTTTGGCTGTGGTTGTTGAGTGTACGTCACGGTGTCATATTGTCTTATAGATTTGTAATATTGTAGTGACGTCATATATGATGTCATCGATACCATTTCGAATGAAGTTACATGTTCATAACACTATGAATGAATCCTCAGTTACATGAATACCAAAAACGAGATATAGTACACGTGTATTTTGTTTGTTGAAATACAAGAAACAAGTTTAAAGATATTTAAAGATCAACTGCCGTATTGATAGGTGCATTTAAAAGAGAAACGATTTAATTAGAATCTATTTTCCTTGTTGACTATAATTTGCTGTATGAAATAAAATGACAAATACTTCCTATGATGAGTTTTATTATTATTTCCATGTCAAATAAACATGTATGAAAACATAAAATACAGTATTGTCTTGCAGCACAAACAAAACATGGACCATTGTTGTTGAAGGTAATTCAACAAATCCATATTACTACTACTTAAAGTAAAAAGATTTCGACATTTACTGACAGATTATTATGGACCTGTCTTTTACCGACTATCTCTGATGGAATTGATCACATAGACTTAAGGGTATCACTTATATAGCGCAATTATGTAATTGATAGAAAGGAAAAGAAAATCTGTCCTTGTACTTTACGCTTGAGATATGATTAACTTGCATTTTGCTGTGTTTGGGAAACGCTTACATCAAACAAACTTTGTTACTCAAACTTATTTTATGATAACATTTGTTTTTTAAAAAGTAGAAATCCCTTTATTTTGGTTACACCATTGATATGGACCTTTTCGGGTATAGAAACAGGAAAATAGATTAAAACAAAAGGTAGAGATGCTACGTAGTACAGTAGAATTGTTAATTGATATTTTACAAACTGGGTCAATTCACAGTCCTTTTGTTCAATTTCAGCTTGTATAGGAGGAGTACTGCGAGCTCTGCGATCCGAGTTCAGCAATAGTAGCGTCTGAAAACATCTGCGTTACTTTGGTGTCAACCTTATTGTGGTAAAATGTCAGTGATCGGTTAGTTAAAAACTTAAAAAAAAAATTTCTGGCAAACAAGAAAGGAAATGTTTTTTTAGAAAATCAAAAATACTCTATCGAAATCTGTATCAACATGTTTTGAAGTCATTCACATGAAAAGTTACTTCAATGGCATAAACAGCTAGATGTTAGCTCCGTAGAGCAACCCATGATTATTGCTGGGAAAATGGAAATATTCTTTGTTCCATACAATTATTATTGCTGTTCACATCATTTGAGAACATGACATTACTTATATGAATTGACCAAGATTAACGGAGCAGATGACATCATTGAAGCAGGGGATGCCGAAGAATGTTGATGCTTCCAGAACACCTGGGTATATTCTTCTTGTGCTTTTGCAAGGGTGTCTGTGTACACCAAGCTTTGTTCATATTTTGTCAGTATTTCAGCGATTTTGGGTATAAAGGTTTCGTTTACAGTTTGTTAATTTAGTGTTTTGTTCGTATTTGTTCGGATGCTGGCGGATGTAGCCTCACCTCCAAAGCTCACTTTCATATATACTTATGGAACTGTTTCCATATACATAGATACTCCATGCTGGTTGTTAGTTGTAATACATGAATGATAAAGGTAAAACATGTATAAGAAAAAAACGGGTTTCAAACATTTATAACTGTTTTTATTATAAAAGAGATGTATTAATACTGTGGTTTATCAATAAATTCACACACTCCGGAGAAAAATCCCTATGGCGTAGTAAGTACATATATCGATTTGAGATTAATGCGATCCGACGTTTTCATACCTGGTTGTACCATAACATTGGAATCAACGTGCCTATCCTTCTACCTCTGAGACATTCTTAAAGATTACAGCGTTAAAGAACAAAACTTTATCAGTTATGTAGGCAGGCCAAGGTAACATGTCGTCACCATCTCTTTTTTTTCATAGAACTCCATTATGTGATAAATCCGCGTAACCTAGCTTAGGCAAATCTACATGTCGCTTGTATAGATGAAATGTATGACATTGTCACATAAAAAACATCAACAGTATTAGTAACAAGACTTTATTTTTACACCACAATAAACTGACCTGACACAAGTACTACAGAAAATGTCATTCTACACTGAAAAAGAAAAAAAGAGAAACTTTGTTTATTCTTCTAATAAAGACATTTGTCACTATGTTGCTAATACATATATAACATCAGAAGATATTCATTTCCGTTACAAATGCCATAGGCCATTTCACGTTATAATTACATAACAATGCATAACATTGGCTCAAATGCATTAAAGGTTAACACGAATATCAATAGGGAAAAAAATCTATCCCTTGAAGTGAATTGGCGCTATATGTAAATACTGTTATTTTTAGTAGGTATTAAAACGCACGCTCGATAAACCTTGAAATTTTCCTTTAGCATACATATCATCAATGAATGCTCCATATCAATTATACATAAACAATTACCATGCAGTAAGGGACGAGTTGACTTAAACATCTATTCTATAATGCATTTTTCATGCAGTATTATGGGCGACATTGTTCCTTTGATTGATACACCTGCAATAACGCTCCCAGCGATACAAATTTCATTCCTCATTCTGTGTTTAATTTTCCTGTCGGAATGATACTAAATTACATCTCCGACGAAACGGGTCTCTGGAAAGAGCCAGCCAGCATATGGACCGATTCGAGGGCCAGGAAACATCCAAGTTGTCTGTGACAGGGACCATTAGACTAATCTCCTAGAAGAGGTAACGGTATTTTAATTGTGTTAAGCTCTATTTTATTGAAAGAGGCATGTTCTTCTTGGGTTAATCTACGCTATATGATTCA